TCCGGAAGGAGCCCTGGGCCCCAATATTGAGTATATTTTAGGACTATGCGTAATATTACTAATATTAGCTGTCATGTGTGATATTATTATATCTTTATTATTGCATGTTATATTATGTTATGTCCTATCTTATATATTTATTTATTTTATTTCTAATAAATACATCTTAAATAATTATGTAAGATTTATAATTATATATATATATCTTTACATATATTATAATAATTATATAATATTGTATATTATATATTATTAACTTATATCTTATCTTATGCATTTACTTATTTATTTTATGATAATCAATCTTATATATTATATATTATTAATTTATATCTTATACATTTATTTATTTATTTTATAATAAATCAATCTTATATATATTATAATATTATATAATTATATATTTTATATTATACATTATACTATCTTATCTTATATCTTCTTATTATTTATTTTATAACAAATCAATCTTATTATATTACATTATATAATATTGTATATTATATATTAACTTATATCTTATACATTTATTTATTTTATAGTAAATAAATCTTATATACAATATAATTATACTATCATTGTATATTTTATATTTTACATTAATATCTTTTATTATATCTTATCTTATACATTTAGTTTATAAAAAGTAAATAAATCTTATATATTATATTATTATATGTACCTTATATATATAATTATATATTATAATAATGATATATTATGGTATATATATATATATATATATATTCTCATATATATTATATTTATTATAATATTTATTATATATTATATTATATAGGATGGGCAGAGGTGGTGCTCCAGAGTACATCTACACTGTAGAATGAATGCGCTTTGACACTACTTTGATTGGAGTGGCTCAATGCTATTGGAATCACGAGCGATTTCAAAGTATTGTTGAAGGCTTTCATGGCCGGAATCACTGGGTTGCTGTAAGCTTTTCGGGCTGCATGGCCATGTTCCAGAAGCATTCTCTCCTGACGTTTCGCCTGCATCTATGGCAGGCATTCTCAGAGGGTCCAGAAGCATTCCCTCCTGACGTTTCGCCTGCATTTGTGGCAGGCATTCCACAATCACAGACCTCACAACCTCTGAGGATGCCTGCCATAGATGCAGGCGAAACGTCAGGAGAAAATGCTTCTGGAACATAGCCATGCAGCCCGAAAAACTTGCAGCAACCCACGAGCGATTTCGTTTGGCACTCTTTGGCAGAGAAGGCTTGCCAAACTACAGCTCCCACGATTCCATACCATTGAGCGGTAGCAGTTCAAGTGGGGTCAAACTGCATGAATGTTACACTCGTTTGAGAGAGGAAAGTGGGATATACATATTAGAGGAAGGAAGAAAAGGGAAGGCAAAGATGACTCATTTCAAGGAAGTGTCCCAAATAGTCAGACCCAATTCCCCTTCTTTTTCCTGGCACCAGAAATCTCCCCTCGAGCCCTGGCCACAAAGCTCCAGCACACGCAATGGCTTTGAGTCCAACTTTTATTTGAAAAATAGCCAAGGTTTCCAAAGTGTCCTACAGTACGCGCATGCGCGTTGTCGGCCCTACAGGCAGTCTTTCTTTCCCAGTGGCAGTAGTCTAGTCCTTTTGGGTGGGTTTCCACTCCGGTCGCTTTCCTTCGCGCAGATCCCTTGGCTGGATCAAGTGTTTGCAGGATAGACCTCTCCCCCCCCCCCCGCCCCATGAGGAGGCACCTCAAAACATTTTCTTTCTCTCCCCCCCCCTCCCAACTCGTTCAAACAGATACTCATTAAATAGTTCTTCCTTTTCAAAGATAAATAATTTATAAGCCCAGATGTATTCCGGTTTTCAGTGTCGCAACTCCTGATTATATGGAAAGAGTCCACATCTCCAAACTGGGCAGGATCAAGAATTTGGGAATGAAATTAGACTTCCTTGAGTCAAGGCTGTAAAGTCATAGCCTTCAAACCTAAGTCTCCAGTGCATGTCAAAAGTTAGTATCCTGTGTGAGGAAGAAGCCTAATTGAATGTAAGCTCTATGAGCAGAAACAGAGCTTTCTCCAGGCAGGAAACAATCAGGGCCAGCTAACACCTCCCAACAAAGGATTCTCCCCTGACAAGAAGCAGCCAGGCTTTGAAGCTGCAAGGTCATTCAATGCTAGTCAAGGTGGCCAATTTCAACATTCACACTTGCCTCAGTCAAACAAGAGTTCTTTCTCCCACCCACTTGCTTAGTTTCCAACAGACCTCACAATCTCCGAGTATGCCTGCCATAGATGTGGGCAAAACATCAGGAGAGAATGCTTCTGGAACATGGCCATACAACCTGGAAAACTCTTAGCAACCCAGAGCTTTCTCTTTTCTGTTCTGAGATCTCGATGACAGATCTAGGTTTCATCTGAAATTCAATAGGAGTTACTCCCACTAGCTACAACCTCGATGGTTCTAAAATCCACCTCTGTGCATAGGCATAGGAGCCCTATAACCAGAAATAGTTGGCAACCCCACTTATGTAAGAGACCAGTGGTTTGAACAGGGCAGTCTTCAGGTTACTTAGAAGCAAAGTCCATTGACCACAATGGAATGTACTCCTGGGTTTCACCTGGTGTGAAAGAACAAACAACAACATACCCTTCCATTGAAGAACACAGGCCTAAAAAATTCAGGAATGGCAAGATGAGGAGGTCTGTCCCTAAAACCAAGGCACAGCCAGCCATTGGTAGGGAACCACTTCCTTTCAACCAATCAGTAAAAAGCCCAGAGGTTCCTAAAAGTCAACCAGCTCACTTTGAGGTTTTGGTCTCAAATCTATATAATTAAGGCATAGCCCCTCTGGGTGGGTTTTCTTTTCCCAGGGGCTGAGGGAACCTCTACAATCAGGGATGGGCAAATTTTGGGCTTCTGAGTATTTTGGACTTCAACTTCCACAATTCTTAACAGCCTGTAAGATGACTGGGATTTCTAGGAGTTGAAGTCCAAAACAAACTGTAGGGCTGAAGTTTGGCAATACCTGAATGCAGTTTGACACCACTTAGGGCCCTTCCACACAGTCATATAACCCAAAATATCAAGGCAGAAAACCCCACAATATCGGTTTTGAATTGGAATATCTGAGTCTACACTGTCATGTATCCCAGTTCAAAGCAGGTAATGTGGTATTTTATTCAGCTGTGTAGAAGGGGCTTTAAACTGCCATGGCTCCATGCTATGGAATGATGGGAGTTGTAGTTTTACAACCCTTCTTTTCCCAAGAGAGCTGGGCAAAACAGTTCCTAGAATTCCACATCATGGAGCCAAGGCAGTTAAAGTAGTATCTGACAGCATTCATTCCACAGTGTCGAGATGCAGCCATAGTTGCTGTGACAATGGCTGTCTTGGGCACATCTACACTATCAGTTTGTTATCATGTTGCCATTGCTCCATGCTATGAACCCTGGGAGCGTTGTAATTTTACAACCCTTCTCTGCCCAAAAGAACAAAACAAATGCTAGGACCCCACATCATGGAGCCAAAGCAGCTAAGGTAGTATCAGACAGCATTCATTCCACAGTCTCTAGGTGCAGCCATAGTTGCTGTTGTGGCAGTGGCTGTCTTGGCACATCTCCACTGTCAAATTAGTGTAGATTGATACCATTGCTCTAAGCTATGGAGTTGTGGGAGCTGTAGTCTGAGGGCCCTTCCAGGCAGGCCGTATATATCCCAGGGTCTGATCCAAGAGTTTCTGTTTTAACCTGGATTATATATGAGTCCACACTGCCAGATATTCTGAGATAAACAGAATACCTGGGATCAGATCCTGGTGTATAGGGCCTGTCTGGAAATCTGGTTATGCAAAAGCATTATTTGGCAGAGAAGACACCTGTCAGATAAAGTGGCATCAAACTACATTCATTCCACAGAGTAGATCAGGCATAGACAAACTTCAGCCCTCCAGGTGTTTTGCATTTAAACTCCCAGTTTGTGGGAGTTGCAATCCAAAACAGAGAATCACAGAGTTGGAAGAGACCAACCCCCTACCAAGAAGCAGGAAAATCGAATTCAAAGCACCCCTGACAGATAGTTATCCAAGTCTCTGCTTAAAAGCCTCCAAAGAAGGAGCCTCCACACTCCGGGGCAGAGAGTTCCACTGCTGAACAGCTCACAGTCAGGAAGTTCTTCCTAATGTTCAGGTGGAATCTCCTTTCCTGTAGTTTGAAGCCATGGTTCCAAGTCCTAGTCTCCAGGGAGGCAGAAAATAAGCCTGCTCCCTCCTGCCTATGACTTCCCCTCTCATATTTATATATGATTCTCATCATGTTTCCTCTCAACCTTTTCTCCTTCAAGTTAAACAGAAGAGAAGACTGAGAGGAGATATGGTGGCCAAGTATAGGTATGTGAGGGGAAGTCATAGGGAGAAGCATGCATGGGCAAACTTCAGCCCTCCGGGTGTTTTGGACTTCAACTCCCATTTTATGTCTGCTAGGAATTGTGGAAAATGAAATTCAAAACATCTAAAGCAGGCATGAAAAAAAAACTTTGGCCCTTCAGGTGTTTGGACTTCAACTACCAGTTTACTATCTGTTTGGTATTGTGGAAATTGAAATCCGAAACATCTAGATCAGGCATGGGCAAACTTCAACCCTCCAGGTGTTTCAGACTCTCAGTTTACTGTCTGTTAGGAATTGTGGAAATTGAAATCTGAAACATCTAGAGCAGGCATGGGCAAACTTCAGCCCTACAGGTGTTTTGGACTTCAACTCCTAGTTTATTATAGAAATTGTGGAAATTGAACCCCCAAACATCTAGATCAGGCATGGGCAAACTTCGGCCCTACAGCTGTTTTGGACTTCAACTCCTAGTTTACTATCTGTTAGGAATGGTGGAAGTTGAAGTCCAAAACATCTAGAGCAGGCCAGGGCAAACTTCGGCCCTACAGGTGTTTTGGACTTCAACTCCTAATTTACTATCTGTTAGGAATTGTGGAAGTTGAAGTCAAAAATACCTGGAGGGCCAAACTTTGCCCATGCCCCTAATCTAGAAGGTTGAAGTTTGCCCATGCCTGGGCTCCCCCTGTTCTTTGACACACATACATAAGTCCCCCAAATTCTTTGATCTCCTCCCTCTATTTTTGGAAAGGCGGGGAGGCTTCTCCAACAGGTCCCCCTTTCCTGGAGGCGAGTCTCTTTGGGCCTATAGGAGGCACCCCGCCTGCAATACCGCGGGCAGCCGGAGGGGGCAGTAGAGCTGGGCTGCCCCGAGCGTCCGTAGCGCTTCCGAAGAGGAGGAGGAGGATGGCAAGGCCTTTCCTTCGGCCCCTTCGAACCGAGGGTAGAGAGGAGGCGGCGCCGCGAGTGGGAAAGCAGGGAAGTAGGTATAGGCTGTGGCGGGCTGTGGGAGGAAGCCCCACGGAGAGGCGGCTTGCTCTCCCGCTTTGGAGGGCTGAAAAGGGCGGCTGAGGATGCTCTCGATGGCGAAGGAGCTGGAGAATTTGGTGGAGGAGGAGGGCGATGGCGAGGGCGCGGGCGGCGTGGGCTTGGGGCTGTCCGGGCTTTCCGTCGGCGTGGCGGGGCCGGGCCGGCTGATGCGCTTCCTCCTCCTGCGGAAGACGCCGTCGGCGAAGGTGTACTCGGAGCTGGGGTTGAGCATCCAGTAGTTGTCCTTGCCCCAGGGCCGGGCCGGGTCGCGCAGCACTTTGACGAAGCAGTCGTTGAGCGAGAGGTTGTGCCGGACGGAGTTGCGCCAGCCCGTGTAGGCCCCGCGGAAGAAGGGGAAGCGGCCCATCAGGTACTCGTTGATCTCGGCCAGCGTCAGGCGCCCGCCCGCCGAGTCCCGGATGGCCATGGCGATCAGCGCGATGTAGGAGAAGGGCGGCTTCGGGCGGCGCGTGTAGGGCTTCCCCGGCGGAGGAGGAGGGGGAGGAGGAGGAAGGGGAGGCGGCGGCTTGGCGGGCGAGACGGGAGCCGCGCAGTCCCCGTCCGAGCCCAGCTCGCTCTCGCCCGCCGACGGAGAGGCCGCGTGGCTACTGCTCCCGCCGCTCTCCTGGTCGCTCTGCAGCTTGTCCTCGTAGCGAGGCGCGAAGACCTCCAGCTTCATGCCGTCTCTCTCAAGTCCTCCTTGCTTCAAGCGTCGCCCCTCATAAGGCGGGAAAAAGGAGGCGCTTCTTCTCCCTTTCCTATGGGATAAGGTCCCCCAGAGTCCCAATTCAGGCCCCCTTTCCCCACTGAAGGGAAGGTGCGCTCAGGCTCTCTCGAGGCGAACAGGTGGCTGAGGAACTTCGGAGGCCACTTCTTTTCCCGTTTCTTCTCCTCAGTGGGATGCTGCCTTTCTCTCCCTCACGCGCTTTCCCCTCCAAACCAGCGCGTTATAATAATACAAAAAGGAGGAGGAGCAACCTTCCCGCCCCTTCCGAAGGGCTTGTTTGAGAATGCCCCGCCGGACGCGAAGGAAAACAAGCTTTGGACAGCAACAGCCCTCAAGAGCAGCAGGTTGTTGTTTTTGAGCTCCTGCCTTGGCTTTGGGTTGGTTAAAATGTCTCTTCCAAGCCCCGCCCCTCCCAGGAGGCTCGTCCAATCCAAAAGGCCCAAGACGGGCCTCTCCTTGCCGCTCCCCTTCCCTTCGCCCAGCAGGTTGCTCTTCTTCTCAGGTGCAAAGAGGAGAGTGGCTTATAGGTGGCAGAGTTCCACCTGCTTACAGCTCCCAACTGTTTGGCTTGAACTTGGCCTCTGGCGCTAAGAAAGGACTGCCACCTGTCCACTCATGGATATACATTAGTAAGTAAGTAATACATTTATACAGGCAGTCCCTGAGTTACAAACATTTGACTTACAAACAACTATTATTATTATTATTATTATTATTATTATTATTAACTTTATTTGTACCCCGCTAGCATCTCCCAAAGGACTCGATGCTTACAAAGGCAAAGGCTTCAATACACAACATAACAATACAAAACCTAAAGCAAATTAAAAACAAAGCAATATTAAACAACAAAACAACAAGCAATAAACAATAAGCAGGATTGATGAAGTGGAACGTAAAACTAGATCTATGAGTAGCGAACGCTGACCATGTAAGAGGAGAAATTGGGTTTGTATTTGGTTTTATTGATTTTATGGTTATAATGTATATTTGTTGTTAACTATGTATTGATGTAATTTTGTGTTTGATTGTCTTTATGATGCAGGCATCAAATTGTGCCTTTGCTTTTGTAAGCCGCCCTGAGTCCCCTTCGGGGTGAGAAGGGCGGGGTAAAAGAACCCCAAATAAATAAATAAATAATAAATAATAAATACACCAAAGCACAATAAAACTGGGCTGGGCCAGAGTAATGGGTACAGGATTAAAAGTGCTGGTGTGACAGGTGATATGTAAGGATTATAGAGTAAGTGCAGTGTGCAGTGTGCAGCAATCTTAGTTCTAATAAAGTGCTTCTGGGATTTGGTATTGGAGATTTCCTTTTCTGGGAAGGCACATCAGAACAGCCAGGTCTTCAAGTTCTTTCTGAAGACTGCCAATGTAGGGGCCTGTCTAAGATCTTTGGGGAGGGTGTTCCAGAGTCGGGGGGCCACCACAGAAAAGGCCCTGTCTCGTGTCCCCACCAAACGCGCTTGCGACGCAGGCGGGATCACGAGCAGGGCCTCTCCAGATGAACGAAGTGAACGCATGGGTTCATAGACGGAGATGCGGTCACGCAGGTAGGATGGTCCCAAACCATTCAGGGCTTTGTAGGTAAGCACCTGCACCTTAAATTGGGCTCGGAAAATAAACGGCAGCCAGTGGAGCTCCTTGAACAGATGGGTTGACCTCTCTCTGTAAGGAGCACCAGTTAACATCCTGGCCGCTGCCGTTGGACCAGTTGAAATTTCTGAGCCGTTTTCAAGGGCAGCCCCACGTAGAGCGCATTACAGTAGTCCAATCTAGAGGTGACCAAGGCATGGACCACCCCGGCCAGATCAGCCTTCGCGAGGTACAGTCGCAGTTGGCGAACAACTCAGAGTTAAGGGACGGGTATGTGATAAGTATGTGAGAGGAAGTCATAGGGAGGAGGGAGCAAGCTTGTTTTCTGCTGCCCTGAAGACTAGGCTTATGACGGCCTCAAGGAGACCCCCATCGCAGGGTTTTCTGGGGCTGAGAGAGTGTGTGACTCACCCAGGGTCACTCATTGGGTGAAGTTTAAGCCACAGACCAGCCTGAGCCCTGCCACATACACAATGGGGGGCCTCCTTATAGCAACGCCAATGGTCAGCTATTGGTCAAATGACATTAATAGAATGCCAAGTTTGTAATCTTTGTTGGTTTTTAAAAAATATATTACACTTATACCCTTGGTTCGCTCCTGATATCTATCTATCTATATAAATAAAAATGTAATGTCCGTTTGTGGGATTAACAGAACTCAAAAACCACTGGGCGAATTGACACCAAATTTGGACACAAGACACCTAACAACCCAATGTATGTCCTTCACTCAAAACATTTGATTTTGTCATTTGGGAGTTGTAGTTGCTGGGATTTATAGTTCACCTACAATCAAAGAGCATTTTGAATTCCACCAATGATGGAATTGAACCAAACATGGCATACAGGATTCTCATACAGGAAATGCAAAGATACAGAATGGGGGACAATGCCTGGCTTGAGAGCAGTACGTGTGAAAAAGATCTTGGAGTCCTCGTGGACAACAAGTTAAACATGAGCCAACAATGTGATGTGTGGCAAAAAAAGCCAATGGGATTTTGGCCTGCATCAATAGGAGCATAGTGTCTAGATCTAGGGAAGTCATGCTACCCCTCTATGCTGCTTTGGTTAGACCACACCTGGAATATTGTGTCCAATTCTGGGCACCACAATTCAAGAGAGATATTGACAAGCTGGAATGTGTCCAGAGGAGGGCGACTAAAATGATCAAGGGTCTGGAGAACAAGCCCTATGAGGAGCGGCTTAAGGAGCTGGGCATGTTTAGCCTGAAGAAGAGAAGGCTGAGAGGAGATATGATAGCCATGTATAAAATATGTGAGAGGAAGCCACAGGGAGGAGGGAGCAAGCTTGTTTACTTCTTCCATGGAGACTAGGACACGAAACAATGGCTTCAAACTACAAGAAAGGAGATTCCATCTGAACATTAGGAAGAACTTCCTGATTGTGAGAGTTGTTCAGCAGTGGAACTCTCTGCCCCAGAGTGTGGTGGAGGCTTTTAAACAGAGGCTGGATGGTCATCTGCCAGGGAAGCTTTGAATGTGATTTTCCTGCTTCTTGGCAGGGGGTTGGACTGGATGGCCCATGAGGTCTCTTCCAACTCTATGATTCTATGAAATTTACTCCTGAGAGTATTGTCATGGGGGAAAAGTGTCTCCACAGAAGCTTTATCACTTTGGGAGAACAGATTTAAAATCCCCGTTGGGCCATGGAAAACATGGGTGACATCAGCCCCATTCTCTCAGAGGAAGGCCATGGCAAACCTCTTCTGAATAAATCTTGGCAAGAAAAAGCTGTCATAGGGTCGCCTTGTTTCCATAAATTGAAAAAGACACTCAGGAGTAACAACCAGATGCAATTTAACCTATACAGGCAATCCCCAAGTTACAAACATCCAATTTACAAATGACTTATATTTAAGAACCAGTATGAGAACAGGAAGTGAGAGAAATCTACCTCTTGGAAGGGAAATTCATTCCTGAAAGAGTTATTGTGAGGAAAAGGTGACTCCACTGAAGCTTTAGCATTAATCCTTGTTTCCACAACAAGCCAAATTTATCAAAATCCAGTTATCACAGGGAAAGAAAGTGAAATGAAATCTTCTGAGCAGGGGCACAGACAACGAAAATGAAAATGAAAACAAAAACAACAAAAAACACCGCAGGGATGTTAACCCTGCCCTGTGCTATCCAAAGCTCCCCCTCTCTATCATTTTGGCTGGAGTTACACTTAAAATGTACCTGTTCCAACTTACAAACAAATTCAACTTAAGAACAAACCTACAGAACCTATCTTGTTTGTAACTGTAAGACTGCCTGCAATTTACTTAGTGGAATGGACTCCTCACCCCCACATCCAAGTGGGGATGAGATGTAGTAGTTTGCATGACAGACTAAGACTTCGGGAAGCAATGGTATAAACTTCCTCTGAACAAAGCTTCCCAACAAAATCCAAACATATGGTTGTGATAAATCAGACTAATGAAGGCACATAACAAGAACAACAAGAAGTAATTCCATGTGATAGTTTGTCAAGCTAGGATAGGAGAGATTCAAGATTCAAATTTCGAGGCAGTAATCCAGAGAGTGTCCTTTCCATGAGGGTAAACAAGAAGGAAAAAAATATGTGTTCATCCCCAACACCTTGAGCAGTTCAATGCAATGAATTCCTAAAAATTAATATTCATTTTGTCCCTCAGAATCAATCATGAGGTGAGCAACTTTTCTCTGCCAAGAACCACCCTCCCTTGCAAATAATAATAATACACTTTATTTATATTCTGCTTTATCTCCTAGGAGGGACTCGGAGCAGATTACAGTTTTACATATATAAGGCAAACATTAAATGCCTTTTAACCCAGTGAACAATGACATACGATACACAGACAGAGGTCATCTTTCCATCTCCGGCATCTAGAGGTGATGCTCAGCTCTGGCCATGTTCCGTTTTCAATGGCAAGGAGCTTATTGTCCATAGACTTTCTCGAAGCGTTGCTGGCTTCTCTGCATGGGGCGCCCTTTTACCTCCCTGCCAAGGCGATACCTATTGATCTACTCACGTTACATGCTTTCAAACTGGTAGGTAGGCACTGCTAAGATTGACAGCTGGGAGCTAGGTACTGCTAAGGCTGACAGCTGGGAGCTCATCCTGACTCCTAGCTTCAAATTGCTAACCCTCCTGTCAGCCAATTTCCTGCAGCTAGTGGTTTTAACCGCTGCACTACCACGGCTGGTAAGTAACCTGTTATTGATCTGCATCCAGGTGGTAGAGAGATTGAGATAAAAGTAGAGGAAGTCTTTGTGTCCCCCTGCTTTGTCCCTTTTCTCTCCCTCTTCCTTTTTGCCAAGACCAGGGAAAGATTCCTCATACTAGCAAAGATGAGTAAGAAAAGAAAAAAAATTGTTATGGCTAGTATACTTCCCAGTAGCAATGGTTAGCCAATGGGATGAAGAGGCTTTCCACATGGTCAGAATTCTCTTGAACTCCACAGCCTTCATTTCAAGGCCCCTTCCCAGTTTCTCTCTGTAGCAAAGCACAAATGTGTATGTAGAACTGTTCGTATTACACTGTTCTTATTACACTGTAAATAAAAGCTGCTTGAACATACCACTGCTGTTCTGTAATTTTATGCCAGAATGAAACGGGGATAAGTTTAAATGTATAAATGACATTAAAATAAAATCAATGAATGTCATGTAAGGTTCATTTTGACAATATAATTCATTTTAAAAGACATGTTTAAGTATTTAAAATGTATAGGTGTCACTCATTTAAAAAATCTGTGAAAAGGAGACACAACCCATTCTAAAAACATTGGGTCTACAACCAGGTACATGTGAGTCTGATTTTTCTCTTTTGTGATTTAAGTTACTTAACTTGGAACAAATGATTTCTATTATTTTGGACCATGACTTAGTGGAATGTTTTAAGTAATGGGAATTACAGCAAACATTCAGTGAAATATATTTGAAGAGGTTTACACACAAGCTGTGCTCTTCCGTTGAAATCAGCAGTGTGAGTTTGACTGGGTTGGACCTATGTGTTTAAG